TTTTTTTCTGGTCTGTAAGTCAAATCTCAGTCTGCAAGTCAAAACTAAATTTTGCGGCCAGAGAAGTCTGTAACTCAAAAAGTCTGTAAGTCAAGCTGTCTGTAAGTCAAGGGTCCACTGTAAACTGTTCTAGTTATGTAAAATGAAAAAGAAGTAACTGCAAGTGTAATGGTACTTTAAAATAAAAGAATGGTAAGAAATGTAGAATGTAATAGACCGTTCCAGTTACAGTATGTATAAGTAGAAATAAGTAAATGCAAATGTAATTGCATTAAAGATGAAAGAATGGTAAGCAATGGAAAAGTGTAATAACAAACAAATTGAAAGTGTTGATTTAAAATGTTAATTTATAAAAGTACTGTAAATGAAAAAATTGGTAAGCAATGGAAAAGTATAATAACAAAGGAATTGAAATTGTTGATTGCAAATGTTAATTGAGTGAAGTTAAATATGTGGAGTAAGTATTATGGATCACCACAGCAAGCAACCAAAGAAACCCGGCCAGCTCAAGCCTCCTGGCGGTGGAGGTCACAGCAGCAGTGGAAGCCTGGGAGGCTTCCGAGGCTTCGGATGGGTCAGGTGCTCCTTTTTCCTTTTAAAAAAGTTGTTCTGGGTGGGTTTTGGAGGGTAGGTTTGGACTGGGGGGTTATGTTTCTGTGCTATGTTGTTTTTTATTTATTTATTTCCAGTCCCAGCGTGGGACTTGCTCTGTTTATTTTTATTTTTGGTAATTTTTTGAAATGCTGAAACGGATTCTGTTCCCATGCATTTAAATAGAAAATGTTGCTTTGACTTACGAACATTTCGAGGAAAATGTTGCTTTGACTTACAAACATTTCGACTTACGAACACCATGCCAATATGGATTAAGTTCGTAAGTTGAGGTACCACCGTATATGGCTGGTGTCTTTGTGTCTAATTACCATATATGGCTGGTGTCTTTGTGTCTAATTATAAACACAGATCACGATGCCCTTGCATCTGATAACATTTTTATGGTCAAGTTACTCAAGATGTCTGATTACTATAATTTTGTAGGAAGGCACCTAAATAAAGTTTAGGGCCCATTTTCTGATGAAAAGAGGTTTTTTTTCCTTGGTGTTTGGGCCCTGAATGTCCTGTGCACTGTTTCCCTCAAGTAGCAAACCTCAGGCATTTAGAAGCAATTATTATCAGAAAATTCATGCTGGGCTCTGATCCCAATCACATTCCAGTTTCGTGGTCCACAACTGATTTTATTTGTTTATTTGTTTAGCGAACTAGAAGCAAAAAAGATTGTGTGTGCTTTTTTAATTATACAGTATGTATTTAAATACATGTATTTTGGCCTTGCACAAAGAGAACAACCCTTAGAGAAAAGTTTTGGACCCAGAACCTCTGAGTTAAACTGCTCATGCAATGAACATAACAAAAACATGGTTTATTATTTATTTCATTTTATTAGATTTATACCCCGCCCATCTAGACCAAAGGTCTACTCTGGGCAGCATTACAAGTTTAAAAACAGTAAAACTAATAAAACCACTAAACATGCAATAAATCCAAGATGTTTAAGATACAGCAGGAGGGAAAGCCTGCCCAAATAACCAAGTCTGAAGTTTACTTCTGAAGACACCCAGAGAGGGAGCTAGGAGGATCTCCACGGCAAGTTATTCCAGAGGCAAGGATAAAATTTAAAAAATAATAAAATAAATGGTTGTTGTAAGTGTTTTGGGCTCTTTGGCCGTGTTCTGGAAACAGTCCGAAAAATCTACAACAGCCATTGGATCCCAGCCATGAAAGCCTTTGAGAATACATAACAAAAACAGTTTGAACGTTTCACTAGTTGTGCAACGAGCTTTCCTGGACCTTTTGGAAACATATTTTTTAAATTTGTATTTATTTATTTATTTGATTTATACCCCGCCCATCTGGCCTATAAGGCCACTCTCGGCGGCTATGCCAGAAAACATATGCTAGAAAACAGTAATTATGACCCATACTTCTGTTACGGGGCTACAATTACTTGCACACACAGATGGTCCCATGTTACCATGCTGCCAGGGCTTTATGCTTCATCACAGTTCAACAGGATCTTGGCCTTAAACTTTTCTAACTTGATCACGTTACATTACTACCATTAGAAACTGAATATTTACAGCTCCTTGTCGAATGCAAGGTACTCTTCAATCTTGCCTTCTGCATCATAGATTTCTTCTTCCAAAAATGAATATATAGATGATTCGGATAAAGAAATTCCTGGTAATTCAGAGCTGAATGCTTTGTGCAATGGAAAAGTAGCAGGAACCAATTTAGATCCTGAGATGCATAACCTAAAGATTGAATTTTAACACATGAGAAAAAAGGGGGAAATAATGATACACTAACATTTTAAATAAAATATTGTAAGAGTACTATTATTATTACAAATTACCTAACAATTAAATAGACAGAACAAAATAACTTATGACATAAAATCTTAATAAAAGTTGACCTTTCAGAGGAGGCACAAGCTGAAGGCACATCAGCATCTATTGGTAGATCTCCTGGTGATTTTCAGTAGACCTATAGATAAGCAGCATTTCTAACTTAGCTGATTAATTATTTTATTTATTGTTTTGACTTATATATTACTCCACAATGCTAGAGCACTCTCTGGGTGGTTTACAACATTATTGAAGGAAAACTCCCCCCCCCCCCCCCCGGCAAGCTGGGTACTCATTTTACTGACCTCATTAGGATGGAAGGATATGACAATCATGAGCGGGCTACCTGAGCCTATCAGGATCAAACTTAGGTTGTGAGTAGAAGCTTGACTGCAATACTGCAGTTTAACCGCTGTGCCACAGAGCTCCTTACGAGAAGCAATAAAAAAATCATTCATTCTTCTAGATTAATTCTGTTAATTTTATTTTGGTCTTAATATTTATTTTGGTGCTTTCCTCTGAAGCTTCTTATTCTCCCTATTATTATCATCATTATCATTATCATTAGTAGTAGTAGTAGTAGTGTATACACAAATTGGTTAATATAACTTATTACCATGTTTCCTTGAAAATAAGACAGGGTCTTATATTAATTTTTGCTTCAAAAATGCATTAGGGCTTATTTTCAGGGGATGTTTTATTTTTTTATTTACAACCATCTATGTTTATTCAAATATAGTCATGACACATTCTTCTGGTTGTTGCACAATGGTGGAGGGCGGGCTTTCACTTAACTAGGGCTTATTTTTGGGGTAGGGCTTATATAACGAGCATCCTGAAAAATCATACTAGGGCTTATTTTCAGGTTAGGTCTTCTTTTCAGGGAAACAGTATCATTTGGATAAATTAATTTGTACTATATTTTGGTGGTATATAAAATATATACTGTATTTTTAAAAAGAAATAGAGTTATTCAAATAATTTTGCTTTAAAGAAGTAACTTACTCTTTCATATTGCTGGTGATTTCACTCAGGCTAGGTAAGGATCTGGAGTATAGGGAGCTGGGATTTCTGCTCTGATAATGCTGAAAACCCTCATCCTTTGGGAAAAGTAGCTGTCTTCCCAAGATCCTGCAAAAAAGAACAAATATAGGATTACTAATGAAATTAAGAAAATGCAAATACAAGCACTACACTTATATTAATAACTCTGAAACACAGAAGTATTATATCAGGACTTACAAATGAGAGAGGTCAGTTAACTGCAACACATTTAAAAAAGGCAATTCAGGCTCACTGTTTGGGCTGTAAATTTTGCAGCCCCTTCTGCTCAAAAAGAAACCAAGGGAAAACATACTTTTTTCTTCTAGCAGTAAGATTTTGCTGCATGAAATCTTTCTGAGAAATATTGAAGGCCATCTCTGAAGTTTTGTGGTCAAATAATGTCAAACTATGCAAGATTATTGTAATTCTTATGCATCCTCTCTTCTATGCATGAGTCACCAGAAAGAGTACCTAGCTGTACAGTATATAGTAGTTTCCTCTGAAGAACAACAAGCAAGGTGGGGGAAGAATGAGATCGGAGCTCCATTTTCATAGGAAGCTAGGACATCTCACTAATTCTGTGGGAAGTTTCAGCAAGGATTCTTATTGTGAAATACTTGGAAAATTGCTAAGAACAAGACATTTTGCAAGTATTCAACCCATCCCTACTCATGTCTTTGCCCAAAATCCAATAAAACTCATTTCAAGCAAAACTATTTCCAGAAAACAACATAACTCAAAATCTACAACAGGCCAAAAAAGCAAATTATATGTATACTTGCCTTAAGTGAAGTGATCTGGTGGTCCAATCTTCGCATTCTGCCTTTAGATTCTCTGTCTGTGAACTCACTTTTCCTTCAAACAACATTTCATCCACATCCCAGAACAACTGATGCACTCTCTGAGTGTTAACTTTATCAAACTCCTAAGGATGTTAAGATGAAGTTTTTTTAAAGTAATATTTCTACGTACCATTGAAGCTGAATAAAATTATATTAGAAGAAGTTAGAAAACAAAGAGAAAAATTAGCAATGTTCACAAATTATCTTTGCAGAAAGAATAGAATTATTTTAAAACAAAATTCTCAGCAGAAGAAACTCCCCTATGGGCAGTGGCACAAACAGTGACCTGCATTGGCATGACAGCTGCCACAGCATCCCTGATTAGACAATGGACTCAAAACTGCTTTTGAAGAAATGATTGTTTCAAAGGTTAAGGGAAAGTAGGCCAAATGGTCCTCTACTGCACCTGTTGCATCTCCAGGAACATCAGATGACATGTTTAGAATGACTAAACATGCCATCTGATGTGCTTGGAGATGTAGGAATAACAATTTACACAACCGTGGTGGCTTTTCTATGACATGTTGTGGTAACACTGGCAACTAAATTCTTGCCACATCACCCAAATGACTATATCCTTGAGGACACATCACACAGAAATGATTCTGGGTATAAAAATAGTGAGGTTTGTAGAGTGACATTACTCTCAACTGCTTCTAATCTCACCATAGGTGCAGCCTTCTCTAGTAGTGAAATGCTGGGTAATGGCCCAGTTGCTAACTCAGCTCCACTGGCATGTGTTTGCAGTACTGATACAATGCTGGATGCTATGCATGCTTAATATCATATTGATCTTAACTCAACATGTTCCAGGACAATGACATCTTCTCCCATTTATACCAGTGGTACCTAACCTTGGTAACCCAGGTGTTCTTGGACTGCGATTCCCAGAATCCTTCATCACCAGCTGTGTTGGCTGGGGTTTCTGGGTGAAGGGAACCACTGATCTGTACAGAATCAAGTTATTCCTCTCATTTTGAGGTTGTTCAAGGTATTTCAAAATGAAAGGCAATAGAGAACAGGGAACAACAATGAAGAAGAGGGAAAAAAGGTCAAGAGGTTTCCTCAGCATACACGAAACAACAGAAGACTTATACTAAAAAGATAACAGAAAAGGGTGAAAAGTTAAAATAGGCAACAGACAACGGTGAGCGGTAAGATACAGGCAACTTAATTTAGATTAGAGCCACACACTCTTCAGTCCTCAAGGCCACACTAGAGTCATCTAAGAATTCAGGCATTCACAGTTATACATGCAGAGGCACAAACTAGCGCTCACATTTGCTAGGGTAGAGAGAAGGTTCAACTTTGTCTCAATCACAGCCATGCCGTACAGTGGTTAAACTGCAGTACTGCAATCAAGCCTCTACTCACAACCTGAGCTGGATCCCAATGGATTCATTCAGGTTCAAGGTTGACTTAGCCTCCCACTCTTGAGGTTGATAAAATGAGTACCCAGCCCACTAGGGGGCAAAGGGATGTTTGCACAATTATGTTGTAAGCCACCCAGTGAGTAATTTAGCACTGTGGTGAAGTAAGGTGAATAAGCTGAAGTAAGACGAATAAGCTGAAATGGCAACAACGCCAACAATCCTATGTGAGACTGCTGGGATGAAGGCTTGGTCCTTTCATGTCATTGAGGAAGTCTAACATTTCTTCCCCCACTTAGTAACCTCAATCAGATAGTTGCTTCTAGATCAATGAAGGAAGGAGAAAAAGAAGGCTTAGCTCTCCAGATTTATTTATTGGATTTCCATCCCGCCCATCTAGACCAAAGGTCTACTCTGGGCGGTTTACAAATTTGAAAACAATAAAACCAAAACCACATATTATAGGTTCAGGATCCACAGATTAATGCTAGCTTACTAACTGCTGTGATTTCAGATGCTGGTTAATAAAATCACATTAAACCAGAGTTCATCATTCAGACATAATGGGAAATTCTGGTTTAAACCAGCTGTTCTCAAACTTTTTTGGCGGGGGCACAGGCATAAACACAGTACACAAAACACAATATGAAACAAAGGCCAAATCAGGATTGTATAAGTCATATAATGAACCTTATAAAGTGGTGTGTGGAAAACTGTTTCCAATATGTGGCCCCTTCAAACATTGCGGGGGATAGGAGCACCAAAGCCAGCACGTGAGGAGAGGCAGTGTGAGTCTAATTCTCATTCCCAACTTACTAAACTGCAATTTAGCAAGGAGGAATATGGTTAAATATCAAAAGCTTATGACTTTACACCCCGGTTAGTGTAATGTAATGGAGGCCAGGATACAAACATTCTAAGGTAGGGGAAGAAATACAGACTTTTAATTTTTAATGCAAAACCTGTTAATAAAGAGTAACCCACATCATCTCTCCAGGAGTAAACAGAGCTTCTTTCCGTAGATGGACCAGTGGTGCAACTCCGTATCCCTGACCAAGAATTATTCAAGTCTGTGGGTGTGGTTTGCCTGCTAGATGAGAGTGATGAAACTGAAACACTGTGGACAGAAACAAATTAATAGGTAATAGTTCATATTATGATTCACTGCCACATTTTTGTGGCAGAAGCTCTTAAAATTTAAGAGCTGCAGAAACTATTAGTAAATATGAAATGCCATTATTTGATACCAGGATAGGAAGCTGTGTACCAAGACATTACTTGGGTAATGGTAGGATGTCTGGGGGCGAGGGGAGAGGAGAGGCAAGAATAACTTTTCCACCCCATAAGACAAAACATGATGAACACATACTCCTACCCGGTAAACAAATGGGAGCCGGGGGATGAACGGGTGACAAGGAAGACATGCATAACATGTTTTTGTGCTCCAACCTATCACACAAACTGCTGTTTATACTAAACTACATCTCAGAGTCAAACTAAATGTTAAGACACATATTCCCTGAAATGAGCATGTTTGCCCTCTAGTGACTGAATTCTGTCAATCACAAACAAGGCAAGGCTAAATGCAAGGTACAGAGGTGAGGAAAAAACATGCTGTGATAAACAAATATCTTTCATTGCTTCACAGAACATCACTTCTAAATATCTTGGAAATATATTGTGTAGTAGGACCGCCAGAACATGCCCTTGTCTGCATTTTGTTTCTTAGTTTTTTCTTATGCAAAATCTGGTAGGAGGTTTTAAAAATACAGATTTTCATGAAATACTGCTTTCCTTTCTGATCATTTCCCTTTCCCCATTCACCTGCATCATATGTTAAGGGCAGTGGATAACCCAGTATCTGCTTGGGTTCACAGAAGGGAACCAAAGAACTTGCCTTTGAAACGGGGATGTGCACTAGCGCCAAAATTCAGATTCAGAATTTGTATTCGGAATTACAGTCCTTCAGAACTGGAATTCAGAATTTTGAAAAATCTGGATATCTGGACCTCTGTTATACAGTAGTCAACATATAGTCATTATGCATGCTTCTACCTCTACTCTGCCATGTCCCTCCTCTGGAGGATAGATCCCTCTCATGCTTGTCAAGAGAACTTCCCAGAATGCTTGCCCTGTTGTTGCAGGGGCGAGGGACTTGAACTGTAGAATACAACTGCTGGTACTTCTGTCTGGGGTACTATAGACATTGCCAGTTTCTTCCTACTCTGCCAGCTGCACCTTTTTCGCTGTTTAATTCAGGGTCCAAGAGCATTGCCAGAATGGTCACCTTAGCCCTTCTCCCTTGAGAAACTCATGGCAACCTCAATTAGAAGATACTAAATTCTCTACCCCCACACTACCCTTGGTGCAAGAATGTCTTAAGTTTAATTTCTGAAGAAATCACTCCACAATGCTTCAGAAATAGGTTCCACTTTTACTTCTTCCTCTAGCAGGCAGAAAACTAACCTTTTGCTTTCATCTATAGGGAGTAAATAGCAGGATTCCAAATATTAGGAATCATTATTACAAATATTTAGAACTATCAAATTTGGATTTGGATATATTCAGAACTATCTGAATATGGCATTATCTAGTGAATTCTGAATATTTTTGAATTCAAATGCACATCCCTGCTTTGAACAGTGGCTCTCAGCTTGCACTACACGTTGTTTAAAAACTGCTACTCTGTTTTATACTGCCGTGCAAAGTGGAACTGCTGCAGAACATATTTTATTCTGATGCAGAAATACTACAGATCACATTTACATTGTCCTATTCACAACTTTTAAATCATACTTATTTTGTTTTACTGTCAAGCATATCTGTTTTTAAAAGTTCATACATACAAGGTATAGTTGTCAATTGCCTCCTGTACACTTTTGGTGAACAGTGTTGGAAGGCAACCTTCAGTCTTCCCTTGGAAGCAATGCTCTCCTTTCGACAACCCTTTTCTGGATGAAGGAGAAAGGAGAAGGAAAACAACAAGATGTAATCAATTCAAGTTTCTTTTGTTATCACTATTTCCTCTCTTCCTCATCATATAACGTATCCTTTCCAGTGTCAGCTACACTACACAATGGTTAAAGACCGAAGTAAGACATAAAGATTTCACAAACGGCTACAGCTCCAGGTTCTATCCAAATGCATTCAGGCCTGGCTTATACGCCACATTTGTGATTAAAGTTGCTTCTCATATATAAAAGTGGCTGCAGCACAAGACTGGGGTCATATTTAAAACTGGGCCTTTAGCCTATGAAAGTCGTCTTTTGCCCCAAAATGTTGTCCCCAAGCCTATTAGTGCTACATGTAGAAAAAGCTCAGGGAGTCATGTTTAAACACAGAACTGTCCACAGGATAAGAAACAAAATTACACGTGATCTTAGCCTTAAGAGTCTGAGAAGCAATTTGTACTAGATGTCAAATACTATCCTTTCAGTGTGGTTTATGTGCACAGTCTGATTAGCTATGAAGCAATGAATCATTCATATTTCTAAGAAACAAAATTCTCGTTTACACAATATCTTTATTGAAGCAATATAAACAAGGCATGTTTACAAATTCTCCAGAAGTTTCTTCAGATTTAGACAGTACAGTGGTGCCTCGCATAACGAGCGCACTGTTTAAGGACGAATCCGCACAGCGATGCGGATTTTGCGATCGAAAAAGCGATCACATTGCGATGTTTGAATAGGCAAAACATTGCATTGCGATGATCAGTAAGCGTTTTGCTTACTGATCTCCGCATCGCGATGTTTGCAGAACAGCTGATCGGTGGTTCCAAACTGGCCGTCGGATGAAGAAAATGGCCGCCCGCAGCGTTTTCGCGATGATTCCTCACTTACCGGGCCGCGAAAATGGCGGCCGTATGGAGAATTTCCGCATAGCGGTGAGTTTATCCCCCAAAGGAACGCATTGAAGGGGTTTCAATGCGTTCCTATGGGGTTTTTTGTTCCGCATAGCGACAATTCCGGATAGCGACGATTTATCCGGAACGGATTATTGTCGCTATGTGGGGCACCACTGTATGCTGAAGTACAGATTTATAGTCTCCTACCTCTCTTTAGACAAAAGTCAAGGTATGATCCTAACAAATCTGTTTTGGACAAGGTATATAAGCCCCTTCTGTTCACTGAGAGTAGAAACACAGAAAGAAGCACAGTAGTGTGCATTTCAGCAAAACAGACCAAATGTAGCTGCCATATACATTAAAAAGTCTATTGAGGCCAAATTAGCAGTCATGCAGATTGGTTGGAAGAGATGGAATCCTAATTAAAACGCAATTTATGAGAAAAATCCTCAGCCTGGCCCAAGCTCTGAACCTGTCTGGCTGCACATTTGAATTTCAGCCTATATGTTAACATTGTTTGGTTAGCAGCTAGTTTCCTATGGAGGAGGCAATTGAGAGATAGACAGCTAATATCATAATCCCTATCTCTATGCCCTCATGCTGCATACAGCAACTTTTTTCTTTTTGCATTCTTCGTTCTAAAAAAGCTAAAAAGAAATATGCAAAATGAAAGCTTTAATAAAAGAATACCAGATCAGATTCTGTCACCAGTGCTGTGCAGTTACATTTTCTCAAATCATGGCTTTGCCACCTGGTACAAATATTTTTGACAGCACTTCCTTTAATCTTTTACCACTGGCTATGCTGATTAAAAAAGGAGCCAATCTGTTAAAATCCAAAGGCCTAGGTCAAAAGGTGTATCTTAAGTAAATGGAAACATTAAAATTACTGGAGATGTTTTATGCCCTTTCAAAGGCAGATCATTAAATAACAAGAGTGCTAGAACCAAGAAGGCCTTTGCTTATGTCATCATTCATCAAGCATCACCCACAGTTATGACCATAAGATCTGCCAATTCCAGAGCTCTTAAATGCCAGCTGAAACTGGTGTTCTGGAAATTTAAAGTCTTATAAATCAGCACTGATATCCTGACATTTTGGAATTGAACAGACAGGCAGTGAAAGCTTTTTAAATGATTTATATAACAGTATAAGTGCTGTCAAATCGATTCCAACATACAGTGACTCTCTCTGGAGTTTTCTAGGTATAGAAAACCTATAGGTATAGCCGCCCAGAGTGGTCAATTGATTAGATGGGCGGGATATAAATACAGTAAATTAAATTAAATTAAATTAAATGGGAGGTCTCTCAAAACATGGCAAAATACTCCATTGGGCCTAGAAGGCTCAAAGCGATCTGAGCAAATTTTGTTCCAAAAAAATTAAAAGGGAGAGGGTTGCTGGGGTGCCCTGGGACTGTGAAGCTTGCCCAAGGCTACACAAGCTTGCTCTTCTCATTAACGCACAATGGAAAACTGAACTCCCAACCTCCATTCAGATACAGTGGTGCCTCGCTAGACTATGATAATCCGTTCCACTGAAATCGCTGTTTAGTGAAATCGTTGTCTAGCGAAAAGCATTTCCCCATTGGAATGCATTGAAACCTGTTTAATGTGTTCCAATGGGGAAGAATTGTCGTTGTCTAGTGAAGATAGGCCATAGGAAAGCCACTTTGCAAACCGCCAATCAGCAGTTTAAATCGCTGTCTTGAGAAGCTTAGGTCCCCAAAAACATCTGTTTGCGAGCGCGGAGGGAGTTGTCACAATTGTCTAACGAAAATTGATTTGCGAAGCAGGGACTAAATGTCCAGCGAAATTCCCCCATAGGACTCACTGTTTTGCAAATCGCTATAGCGATCGCAAAAAGCCAATGTCTAGCGAAAAAACTGTCATGCGGGGTAACTGTCTAGCGAGGCACCACTGTATCTAACTCACTGTGCTATCCAGCCAGCATTGAAATTTATATGAATATCTATTTGTATAAGATACTGTTATAAAAGAAATGACTTCTCCACAGAAGCAAATAATCAGACATTTGCAACAATTATATCAGAAAAATATAAACTGCTGTTCATGCCAGTATGCTGTTCATACTGATTCCACTTCCGCGCTATTCTGGTGTTTTTTCAATTGCAGGGGCAAAGAATCTGGGTATGTCTGCAAGATACAAAATAGGAACAGGACTCTGCATATTCAATAGCTGAGCAGAAATGAGAATTTTTACAGTTTGTAATGGTTTGCATTACAAGTCATGACCTATGAACAGCCCTGAATAGTCTAATGTTTTGGGTTGTGTTGGAATCAACTTGATGGGATGTAATTATTTAAAGTCCCTGTCACTGACAGCCTCACTCAAGTCTTGGAAACTCCAAATCATGTCTCTCTTTACCTAGGCAACCCATCTCATCTTCAGTCTTCCTGTATTCTTGCTGCCATCCACTTTTCCTAGCATTACTGTATTAGAAGTCCATGAAAATTTTAGTGGTGCATGGTTTAAGGTTATTATAATGGGAAGCTGCTATTCCGCCTTCGACCACTAGATGGGGATATTTTGTTTCTTTTTTTCTTAGGCCAAGAAAGGTTCAGGGAAGGCAGGGAAAATACAGTCCAGGCAGTACCAGGCAGTCTGAAGACTCCCAATCCACTCTCTAAACGCTGGGAGGAGTGAGGAAGCAGACAGGCACCCCTTTCACTGGCCAACATTTAACTGAAAGTTCAAATTTTGCACTTTCCCTGCCTCCCACGTGGATTTTTTTCAGTTCTTAACTCAAATCTAAGTATGCAAGTCAAGTCAATATTTTCCTATGAGAGTGGTTCTTAAGTCAAAATGTTCTTAACTCGAGCTGTTCTTAAGTCAAGACCCCACTGTATTAGAAGTCCATGAAACTTTTAGTGGTGCATGGTTTAAGGTTATTATCGGTGCAAAGTCAATTTTATCTAACAGCAGTGCTAAAGATTCTGATATAATTATATGATCTATCCTTAGATTCTGCTTCTCAGCTATTTTTCCCCCTGCTCTATTCCATCATAGTTGTCTTCCTTCTTCCTAAGCATTTTGATTACATTCAGTTTGCTCTTTTCCAGCCTCTGGCATTTGAATCTTCATCTCTCTCAAGAGATCTTGTAGCTGTATTGTTCTTGTTACAGTTTTAGGTCTCTGTGCATGCCAGACAATTAGTTTAAAGGGAAATCCCCAGGCATATCTCACTTTTTGGTTCTGAAGCGTTTCTGTGAACATTCTCCATTCTTTACGTTTCTGGATTGTCCCCACAGCCAAATCCTGATAGATTTCTATATTTTCTCCTTGGTATGACAGATCCTCCATTTTGTTTAATGCACAAGGTACAGCCACTTTCGCTGTGTAGAAGGCAAACTTGATGATTATGTCTCTCGGTTGTTGTGGTTTATGACCCATGCAATGAACTCATTCCAATGTATTCTCTGTAATTTGCAAGCTGGGGCAGAGATTCTGGATCCATTTTAAAACTATACTCTATTTCTATATTTTCTTTTCTCCTTGACAGATCCTCCATTTTGTTTAATGCACAAGGTACAGCCACTTTCGCTGTGTAGAAGGCAAACTTGATGATTATGTCTCTCGGTTGTTGTGGTTTATGACCCATGCAATGAACTCATTCCAATGTATTCTCTGTAATTTGCAAGCTGGGGCAGAGATTCTGGATCCATTTTAAAACTATACTCTAAAGTCCTTTGTCTTCCTCTCCTCTTTAAAAAATCTTAAGCGTAAATTTTATTTACGGTCGCGATTTTCCTGGTATTTGATCTTATCTCTTAATAGTTTTAATTCCTTTTCCAGAGCATCATTCCTTGTTTATTGGTTTTTGCAGCAATTCAAAAGACTCACTGGCAGTCTTTTCCATCTTTTCAATACTGACTTTCAGCTCTGCTTTGGCAGTCTTTTCAATACTGACTTTCAGCTCTGCTAATGTTTCCTTCAGTGGTGCTATAACAGCTTTCATGTCTGTTTGTACATCTTTTCTTAATTGTTTTAAGAGCTGTCTCATATCGCTCTGCTCACTAGCACATTTCTTTCGTCCTTTCCCTTTCATCTTACCGGATCTTTCAATACCCGTATCTTCAGAAGAATCGGCTTCCTTTTCGTCTTCTGAGGAACCATCCGGTTTGTTTTCTTGAGCCATCATCTTTGATTTCCCTGTATCAATATTTATTTATGAATATTTTCAGCTAACTGCCAGTTTTGTTTGTTTGTTTAGTCGTTCAGTCGTGTCCGACTCTTCGTGACCCCATGAACCAGAGCACACCAGGCCCTCCTGTCTTCCACTGCCTCCCGGAGCTGGGCCAAATTCATGTTGGTCGCTTCAATGACACTGTCCAACCATCTCATCCTCTGTCGTCCCCTTCTCCTCTTGCCCTCACGCTTTCCTAACATCAGGGTCTTTTCCAGGGAGTCTTCTCTTCTCATGAGATGGCCAAAGTATTGGAGCCTCAGCTTCAGGATCTGTCCTTCCAGTGAGCACTCAGGCTTGATTTCCTTTAGAATGGATCGATTTGTTCTCCTTGCAGTCCAGGGGACTCTCAAGAGCCTCCTCCAGCACCACAATCCAAAAGCATCAATTCTTCGGCGGTCAGCTTTCTTTATGGTCCAGCTCTCACTTCCGTACATCACTACAGGAAAAAACATAGCTTTG